CATGAGGATCAGTAATTTCTATTGAATTAACAATAAGTTTAGGAGGAGCGCATCTTTTTTTTTTAAATTTATTATTTGTTAGGGTATTGAGTAAATTCCATAGCTTTTTGGGTTTTCCACTGTATTTGTCGAATTCCTTCTTATAATATGACTTCTTTGTTTCCCGTATTAACTTGATTATTTTATGTCTTTTGGTGATAAACTTTTCTTTCAGGTCTTCTCTTTCTGGGTTGTTCTGTAGTTCTGTCCACATCAAGTTTCTTTCATTGATCTCTGTTATGATACTTTTGTTTATCCATTCTTTTTGTGGTTCATTCATAATTTTGGTCTTTATGACTTTGCTTTCTTCCATACATTTTTTTATTAGTTTTTCCAGTCTTGTGAAGTCATCGTTAGATTCTTGTATTCCTGTTTTCTCCATTGATTTATGAAGTTCTTTATAATTTATTGCTTCGTATTGATAATATTTTCTTGGGGGCGGTTTTGTTTTCTTGATTTCCACGTAAAGCTGTCTATGATCAGAAAAAGATGATTTGACATATACCATATGAAAGTTTTCTTCCTTTAAGTTGGTGCTTACATGATCTAGGATAGACTTTTTTGTATGTCTTTGTCTGGTGTAATATTTTTTTTGTGATTTTATTTATGATCTTGTACCAGTCTGTTTTAGCAGATGACTGTATCTTTTGGTCTCTGAATTTTTTGTGAGTAAGTCAACGTTAAAGTCACCAAAAACTATTGCTCTGCTTCTTTCTTGTAATTGTGATTCGTATACTTCAAGAAATTGCTTGAAATTAGTGTGTCCAGGATTATATACCACTCCTACTTCAAGTGCATATTTTTGTAGTTTTATCCACAGATAGTTATTGCCTCCTACATATTTTGACTCTGATAAACTGTGCTTCAGGTTATTGTGGACATAAGCAGATACCCCTCTTCCACCAGCATCTGTTCTGTAGTTATAATAATGAAAGTAATTCGGTAGTTGAAGTTGTAATGCTTGTTCCTCGTTGCGAATCCAAGTTTCAGTTATCAGTATGATGTGCACATTATTTGGTATTGCTTGTAATACACACTTGAGTTCATCGAGTTTTCCCACTTTACGTATACTTCGAGCGTTGAGGTAGAGAAAGGTAAAGCGTGATTTGTTGATTGTAAAATTTTGGTAACTGTTTAATATTTCATAAGTGTTGTTTTTGATACAAATGTTTATTTCTGTGTTTACTGTGTGGAGTTTTTTGATGTTTTTATGATTAACGGTGTTCCATTAACATATTTAATTGTAAGGTTAGTCTCACCATTATCTTGTCGTCGCTTTAATTCTTCCCTTAATTTTCTCAAAAAGTTTTGTTGAGTTGGTGTTTGGTCTGAGAACATTTTTAGACCATCTTGTAGCTTACTTCTGTTGCGGAGTAGTATTTTGGCATGTTCTATTGTTTCGAAGCACACCTTGATACTGCGGTTCTTGCCTGGTTGGAGTTTGCCGATCCTGAAAATTTTTGTCGGTTTTGGAATGCCTGCACTTACCGAGGATATAGTTTTGAATACCTCAGCTTCGTCTTTTGACAATCTGTCTTCAGGAGTAGACGCAATTTGTTCAGGTAAGCCAACAAGCACGATATTTTTTTCTCTATTTTTGCGTTGCTGAATCTCCTGTATAATTTGTTCGCCGAGTATCAACTCGTTTTCCAGCGTTATTGGTGCAGATTTTGAGGAAATTTTGAGTTTGTTTAAGTCTGATTCAAGTGATTCCATTTTTACTTGCATTGCGCTATGAGATCGCTCGTTTGTCAATTTAATATCAGCAATTTGGTTTTTTTTTATATCAGTAATATTTTCTTGCATGGTTTTTAAAATCAGCTCATTAGACACGATGTATTTTTCTAATAGAGAACTGATACGACTTAGTTCAGATCTCATTCCCCCTAATTCTTCAGAGCATGCACATTCGACACCAAAAGGCAATTTTCGTTTCCGAAATGTAATTGATGAATCCGACACTAAATCGCTCATTTTAGATATATCTGGTTGCGACCCTCCAGTTGGTGACCTCTGAACGCTCATATTGCTTGCGTTACGTTAACCGACACACCGATTCTACGTATTGAGTAAGCGAGTTAAAAAATAGCAACCGTACGTGTTTCGCGGAGGTGAAGACGGCTCACTGTTATTGTAGCGGGGGTCCTCTTTGTTGATGCACAGGAGTGTAATGTCACATTAAACAAACAACTTTCACACAATTAAACGTTTTAAGTCTTCTTGGTTAAGGATGGAATTAGACTTGCACTGATTTAGAAAATATTTAGAATTTACTTGTACACGTCTACTCAGTACGACAACGAATACTCAACTCGAAATTACGAGTGGCGTTAGTAAAAAAGAAAGAATGCAGTGCAAACTCTTTTTAAATAGTACTCGCTGATAATGCTTTATTAATCTTAATACTATTACGCTGCATTTTAAAGACTGAAAATAACTGATTTTAGAAAATCAGTATTCATTTGTTTAGTTCAGTTATGATTTGTTATAGAGTGTTAATAATAATATTTCGTCCCCGAAAAAAATTCACACGGAAAACATTAGGGTTAAATGCTTTGCCGCGTTCTATAGTTGCGTGTTTGTTCATTGAACTAAAATGCGGAAGAACATTCATCAAATAACGGCTTTAGTTGGGTAGCTCTACGACAGCAATAATTGAAAAAATTGTTAAAGGGTCGGAAAAATTGATGAAACAAAAAGAACATGCAGAACATTTTCCATGGGCATGAATGCTCACTCAACTACAAAATTTATCCATACCCACAATACGTATCGATGCGCAGATAAATCCATACTGAATATTTTCGGGGTTTATTGGAACCGTTATAATAAATAAAGTCCTTCCTTTAAGTGTCGCCCCACAGTTCTCACGGTTTTTTTTTCGGTAGTTTAACTCGGTAGTGGTTTAATAGTGGTAGAGCCACGCGGCAGCTTTGCTGTTGCACGTATGGGCCGGCTCAAACCGGAGTGGTACCACTACCTTACAGCATACCGGCGTGAAGTAGAAACTCTGCTTCCGCGTTTCGTCTGGTGAGTGCAGGTGGCTGGAGGCCCAATTCCCCCCCCCCCCAATCAACGTGGTAGCGGAATTAAATGTTAGACTACCTCAGGAGAGTACCAGCACCCCCGGAGAATCCCTCGCTGAGTATCCACGACCAAGTTACTCCACTCCTGAGTGTGGGTACTCAGGCTGCCCCCGTATTCTGGGGGGGGGGGGGCAAAATTCCGCTCACTTAACCGATGGTAAAAACCGACTAACCTTCTTTGGCGGCTTGAAGTATGTTTTAATAGTAGCACAGATAAATCTTGTCAGTGACACCTCTGACATAATATGGCAGTACATATCTCAGAGGTATCACTGTACATGACACGCCTATACGTGTACACGCTCGACTGTGGCCGTCTTTACACGTTCACTGTGACGTAGGCTGGACGCAAAACTTGCTTGACGTGTTGAAGCTCACACAGTGAGTGTCACAGATCCCTCGTGCTCGACAAAAACGTCAGGAATGAAAAATAAGTAAACTTACGCAACAAAATCCGTAAAAACTAGTTTTATTTAAATAGGCTACTTTATCAGAATCGTAGTTGGTTCTACTCTTGAAGTAGATAATAGGTTTGGCTATTAAAGCTTAATTAAAAAAATAGGTGTTATCATACCCGTGTGTATAGACCTGACCAGTTAATTTTATTTTTAATAATATATTTAATTAATTATCAAGGTGTTGTTGACCAATTTTGATATTCTATCACAAAATCTACGGCGAGAGTAAATTTTCCAGAAAAATATAATCCTTGCTCTATTATGGGAATGTGAAAATTTGTGGGCATATATGAATAGAATGCACAATAAGTATCCATTCTCATAATCAATATAAACATTTTGAAATAACATCTTATTCTTATCTAATATACGCAGCTAATCTATTTTATTTTATTTATTACTCGTAATATTACAATAGTACAAGGCCGGCCAAATCCTTGCCTTGCCGTGCCGCAACAAAATCAATCGGGGGCATCACAAATCGGCGGGCCACGAAGTGGCCAAGGCATTTGAATTTGCCCGCCAGCGGCAAGCCGGGGTGCGCGGTGTCGCCGCCTCCACCTGATTGGTCGGTTAAAACGAAAACATGCCCGCCCGAGAGCAACCGATCCTCTTCGTTCGGGTGTTGTCGCTACTTCTACGTACCAATTTTGGGTGCATTGGATTAGGTACTACAATAATAGAATCAGTTTGATGACAATTTGTTTCGAAAATTAGAAAAGATTCTATAAAACTGCAATTGCATATTCTGCAGGTAAGTGACTATGTACGTGCTGTGATTTTGATTTAGATACCTACCTACCATTTTAGGTTTTTGTTTGTTTATTGTGCGTTATATTATAACTGTAGGTAAGTAGGTATTTAGTCAAGTTTTATTAATATTGTCGTATTGTGCCTGTCCAAATCAATTATTTTTCTTTACTTACCTACATTCCATATTAAAATCGTTAACTGTAGTTTATAAGTTAAATCTCTATTGTTTTAGTATGGCCCTCAGCAAACCTAGTACATCAAAAATAAAGGATAACTCTCGGACGTTTCACGAAGAATGGGGACCAAAATACTTTTTCACTGAGAGCAAAGCCCACAAACCGGTGTGTCTCATTTGCTCAGCAACAGTAGCTGTTGCTAAAAAATATAATTTAGAGCGGCATTTCAAACAAAACCATGCGAAATTCGAAAAAGAGTATCCAGTGGGGCTTTAAGGACAGATTTTATAAAGAAAAAGAAGAAAGAGCTATTTTCGCAGCAAAATATTTTTGTAAAACAACATAACGAATTGGAAGCCATGGTCAAAACATCGTATGAAATATCTTTACTCTTGGCTAAAAAGAAAAAGCCGTTTTCTGATGGGGACATTATAAAACAGAGTTTGACAATTTTTGCGCAGAACTGCAATGATCAAAAGGTTAAAGCCATGGCAGATAGTATTTCACTTTCGCGCAACACGGTAATGAGGCGAGTAGAAGAAATATTAACAGACATTATCAGTCAAATTACAGAGTTTGTCACTAAATGCAAATATTTTTCACTTGAATTGGACGAAAACTGTGATTTAACAGGTATGGCGTAGTAAGCTGTTTTTGTACGCTGTATTGATGACAATTTTAATATATTTCAAGATTTATTGGACCTCTGTCAACTTGAAAATACTACCACAGGAAAGAAAAATATATTCATAAAACTCAACGATTGCATTGAGGGTAAGAACCTAAAGGATAAGCAAAGAGCACCCAAGAAACAGGCTCTGCAAAATCACATCGGTCGACAATTGTTTTTTTATTTTTGTATTATCCATCAAGAAGCTTTGTGCGCTAAATACATGACGTTCGAGGATATGATTGACCCAGTAGTACGTTGCATTAATTTCATACGTGCCAGAGTACTTAACCGCCGACAATTCAGAATGTTGTTTGAAGAAGAAATTAAAAAATACGGTGAATTACATCTCTATTGCGCTGTTCGCTGGTTATCCAAGGGCGAAATGTTGAAACATTTTTATGATTTGAGGGATCAGGTTCTGGATTTTCTGGAAGAAAAACAAGCATTACCAGCAGAGAGAGCTTTATGAGCTATGGCTTTGCGATCTTGCATTTGTAGTTGACATTTTGAAGTACCTTAATGTTCTGAACCATAAATTGCAAGGAAAAGATTGTTCTCTTCCGACAATGTTAAACTTGATCAATGGTTTCAAAGGGAAGTTCAACTTGTTTGCAGCAAACTTAGAGAGAAATAAAATCGCCCATTTTTCCACACTTGCAAGTGTAAAAGAAGGGTTTAAAATCACTGCCCTTGATATCCCGAAGTACCTATCAAAAATAAAATATTTAAAAGAATCTTTTGAAAACAGATTCCAGGATTTTGAATCTGACAAGAGAATCCTTTTGCAATCAGTTCTACTGATCTGCTTGAATATCCAGCAAACATTCAGCTCGAAGTGTCAGATCTTCAAAATCACACTGCCCTTAAACAAGTTTTCTCCGAAAACGTATCTTCAGAGCAGCTAACAGAAAGTTTTGCAAATTTTTTGAAAAAAGTTTCTAGTGAAGATTTCCCAACATTGCGTGACCTTGCTATGCAAATTTTAAGCAGGTTTGGATCCATCTATGTGTGTGAAAAAACATTTTCAACTCTATCATACATTAAAAATAAATATCGCACATCTCTCACTGCAAAACACATTTCGGATTTGATTGTACTATCAACTTCAGATATAAAACCAAATATCGACAAATTACTATCAGGAAAATCTCTTCACAGCTCACATTAAATTAAAAAAAAATTTATTTTATTTAATTTACAAATAAATTACATTATAGCATATTTTGTCTTCATTGTGTATAAATTACCTTATGAATATGGGAGTACCGGTGGCATGGCGCCGCCACAGTCTAAGAAATTTTGCTCACCTGGAAAATCTATTGGCCAGCCTTGCAATAGTATTATAAACAATATGTGGCTCTATTTAAAGAAAGGTATTGTATAAAACGATATAACCTAGTTTGCGCATTATTATCAACGTTAAAAAGCCGCTAAATACGGTGCTCATAGAACCTAATCCCGATCTACTATACATCATACTAGCAATTCATACCAAATAATCTCGTTTCCTAATTTAGAATATTAAAAGTGCAAGATTTTTGCATAATTTATGTTTAGATAAATACTTAAATGTAAAATTATATTAAATATAATATAATAATCGATAAAATTTACATCTAATTGTGTATAAACTTAAATTTTCCTTGTAGATATGTCCATACAATGAGTTAACAAAATATCTAAAGATGACTTTTGACATGCTTTAATTGTTAAATGAAAGGCAAAAGTGTACATAAGAAATAGATTTTAGTTTTTATTGTGTTTTTAAATGGAAGAACCTAAAGCGGGAAGGGCGTAGTCGTAAAAACAAATCTATAAAATTAAAATTAAAAAAGAAATCAAATATGTGAAATTGCTATTTCGCGATATAAATCGGAATAAGGAACCGGTTGATATATTTGGCATACTGCTGCGGTATTTTTGAAACGTATTTTCACTTTGACATATTCAGAAAACATAGAAATTAAGTGTTTTTGATTGAAAATATAATCCATGAAAATTGAGTTTAACACAAAGAGTTACGCAAACGGTACCAATATGATCAAAAATCATTATTTAAAAGAACATGGTACTTACGTGCATGATTAAGGGGAAATATAATGTCAAATGGCTTAGCAAGATCCTTCGTTATGCCGAAAATATTGCAGCATTAATTTTGAAATAAATATATGGTAAAGTTGAGGATTAATGTTAATGATTTAATTTAATAGTGACGTAAAAACTATTAAGTGTCGGAAAAGGCACACGCTAGTGATATCAGTACCTGATTCTAAAATTTAAATAATATAATATATAAATGTAGTGATTTCTGACAATTGCTTACGCACATTCTATAAATCAAATCTAAGCTGACATCTCTAATGAGTATGATAAAGGATGTTTCTCGGTGTCTTTCCAATCCCTGTACGGTATACGATTTAAAACTCCATTGTAAAGCCACAAATCGATTATTTAGTAGAAACACGGGGTAGTGCAGCCAAAACTAATCTAGTAATACTACAAATTGCTCAAAATAAATTATTAAAACTTTTATTTCGTTTTGATTATTTTTTTCAACGGATAAGCTTTATAAACAAATTAAAGTGATCAACATATCACAAACATACATGTTTCAAAACTTTACATTAATACGAAACATTTTAAATAAAGATATACACACAAATACAACTTTTTCTAAGAACCTACACGAAATGAAAATTAGGCGAAGCAACGATATTGAATTATTGACACCGCGAACAAATGTAAGTAAAAAATGTATTATATATGAATTTTCCCAAATATATAACAAATTATCTAAAAATATTAAAGACTCAAAATTAATGCACACATTTAAAAGACTACTTAAATATCATTTATCTAAATAAACTAGTATAAACAAATATATAATATCTAAGTTAATACCTACTTATGCACTAAAACAACCAACTATTAAAGCTATTTCGAAATAATAAATAACGACATAATGTTTATGTAGAAATAATGTTTGAGAAAAGAGTGACAAAGCAAATCTATGTTGCAGATGTAAACGACAGACTAGGAAAGGGATGCCTCATGTGAAAGTTTGGCGATCAAATTGGCGAAATATTAAAAATGGACCAAATTAAAAGTATCCTTAACCGACGAGCATGCGCAGGTATATGGATGTGGAGGAGGCGCAAGAGTGCCAAATAGAATTCCGTAGTCCCTGCCTACACATCTGGATGACAGGCGTGAGTGTTTAGGTTATGTAATAAATAATATAAATATTACAACAGCTCACTAAAGATATAAATTTCAATAAATGACACAACCAGATTTTTCTAAGCTATCAAATCTAACCATTACACCATAAACTATAATTAAAAAAGCTGAAGGTACTCCGGGTTTAACAATGACATCGGGGCGTCAGTCACCTCAGTCCCCCGTGACTATGGGTGCTAGAAAGCACCCGAAACGTCGGGAATTAAATATAAAAATAATTAAAATTAAAATTAAACGCGATAAATCCGTAAAAGTAGTTTTAACCAACAGTCATTAAAATCGGTTCATCTAGAAAAAAGTTCTGAGGTAACACACATAAAATATACAGTCGAATTGAGTACCTCCTCCTTTTTCCAAAGTAAGAATAATAACATTCTTACTCCACTCAAAAGGGTAAAATAATGAAACTTAAAGAAAGTAATAACCGATTTCAAAAGCAAAAATAGAAAAATATCCACATAATAAAAGTTAGTAAGGAAAGATTCTTTTTAGTTTTTGAAGTCTGTGTAATTTTTATCAAGTTCAGCCGCTTCTGAAAAAGCGCTTAACATACATGAAAACTACTGCGTCGGATATATTAAAACCTCCTCATCTATACGTATATTAATACTAATTACTAATATTACTGATTAATAATATTAAAAAGAGGAAAGATTTTCGGAAACTAGATAATAAATTTAAAAAAAATTTCATTAGTAGAAAGCTTAATTATCAGGAAGTAACATAGGCTTTAACTTATTTTAAAAAAAATGAAATATTGAAGAAAATTACAATAATGTATAATAAAGTAGCAAATTCTGCCTGTAAAATTAATTATTTAGTACGCGCTAAGAAAACTATCGATGATACATAAAAATGATGTACTACATGATTAAATATCTCATTACTATCTAAAAAAAACCGCGAGTTAATATATCTAACTCTCATGGTTAAGTCACAATAGTAGCTTTTGTATTCTAAAATTTAATTAGATCGCCGGTAGGAACAAAAGTTGGTTACAGTGATCATAACTACTTTTAAGGATTTTATCGCGTAGAACTCATTTGACTTTTAATTCCCGACGTTTCGGGTGCTTTGCAGCACCCATGGTAACAGGGAACTGAAGTGAATGACTTCCTGATGGTAATGTTAACCCGGAGTACCTTCAGCTTTTTAATTATTATTTATAGTCCGATCTAATGAACTTACTGTGTCTTGAAGTCTTGCAGTGGTATGCTTGGGTTTTTATTTATTTATTTAATTATTTATTTATTTCAGAGACGTGGTACAATAAGTTGTTGCATTATAACTTTTAGAATCATTTACATGTCTTACCGGTATCTGCGTAGAAACAGCACGATTAGCTCTTATCAATTCTTAGTTTTTTACAGTGTCGGCAATAAGATGTCAATATAACAATATTATATCAATCTAATGACAATAATTACAGCACATAATTAATAAGTTGTGAAATATAACTTAGTACTAAGGTTTCAATAATTCTTAATAGTAATTGCATACATTTGAAATTAGTAAAACATTGACATTTTTATGACTAACAGGCATTTTTTCAAATTAATAATATTTCCATCTGTATTGTAACTTGTTCAAGGCAAAGTTTAGGGAAAAAATACTTAATTTAATCCATATACATATAGTGTCACTTTCGTACCTACTCAATTTTATATGTCAAAAAATCTTTTACGGAGTAAAAACAACGGTCAAGAAGCCATTGAGTTAA